CCAGGACTTCTGGACTGGCCAGCAGTTATTATAACAGAACGATCGCGACACCATTAAATGAAAGATAAAAACGCTTCAACTCATGCAGAACCCCGTACGCAAAACGGCGACTCCAGAACAACAACAAAACATATACGCTAAAAAAAAAAAAAGAATCCTGAGCATCAGCCGTACTTTTGTAGAGCCGTCCCACGGGGGCCCATGGTCGAGGTCCCCGTGAAGGACACGGGCAAACTTTGTTAAAAAAAAAAAAAAGCAACAAATATAATTCCCTTGCAAACAAGAAAAAAAGAAAAAAAAAAAAAAAAAAAAAAAAGGACGGAAGCGCATTGCCGCAGGCCTTAATTATGTCGGAGTTGTGTAGCCTCAAAATTTCTAAACTGTCCTGTTTGGACAGGCCTTTATCGGCCGCGACAAGATGCTTCGCTTTGCTGCGCGATATCACTGAAAAGCACGCGACCTTTCGGAGTCAAACGAGTGTTGTCATACCAGCGTGTTTCGGTATCGACAGATTTTCAAAACAAAATTTTACAATTAATCACTGCAACTGCGTGCTCCATCCAGGCCTTTTTAAACACAGGGTCGGCCTTCAACACTGATTGCCTCCATTTTTTCCATATAAACATGGGCCCTAAAATGTCTCATTAAAAGTAATTACTGATTTTTTGTTAATTAGTCATCTTTTAGTCGCATTTTCTCTTAAACGTAATGTCCGCCTGGCCGTATAACTCACTTGCACAGATCGCATGTGTGTAGGTTTCACGAATTTTTTTCTTTTTATTCTGTATTAAAAAAAAAAAAAAAAAAAACCTGCATGCAATATTGTTCGTAAAGAAAAATAAAAAAATATATAAACTTTTTTTCTTTTTTTTTCTTTTAAGAGTGACTGGCGCAGTTGTATGTTCCGCAACCCTGGCCACTTCTCGCGCGGACGAGCACTTGCGATTGCAAGCTTGCCTTACGCACTTCCGTGTGGATGCTGCACATGCTTCCACACCAGAGACCAGCCAGAACGGCGATGGCGCACGCTCCTCCCTCCCGCGCTCTCTCGTGCGATGCAACCTTCCTCCACCAGCATTCTCTTCGGCCCGCCCCACAAGCTCTGGAAGCCCGAAGGCGCTCTTACATATTAACCTCAAATTATCCTACGTGGCAACGGAGCAAAGTAAGGGAGATTTAACGGAATGTTAATCCACTGGCAAGCAGCCAGACATGTCGGACATCTGAAGAACACATTAAACGCACGCTAAACTCGACGCCACAGCTATCGTACTCTCGCGATCAGCTGCCAAGTCCGCCTACGTATGGCGATATTTTCAGCGCGCTGCCAGTGGGAAATGTCGTATTTTCTTGCCTTTTTTTCTTTACACCGTCGTTTAAACGCATAACCAAAGGGATTCGGCTTCTTTTGTCGCTTGCAAACAAGGTGAGATGTTTTCGCTGTGTGATGAAAGCAAACGGAGCTCGTTCGGAGCGATAAGCGAGGCCACTTGAATGCAAGGCGCTTTCTGCTGCAGCTTCCGCCCGTTGGGATTGCGTCTTGGAACGAGCGGCTGTCGTCAGCGCGGCCCTGACGTAGTATGCAGTATTCGAAGAAATGACGCCCCACCTCTCGCGCGGGACGTCATGATGCCCCTTGGAGTTAAGTTTGGCGGAAGAGCATGTCGTGCCGTTTGATAAGCAAGAGAGCACGTATAACCACAGTACGACCACGGCCCGGTTCATTCAATGTCTCTTACCGCCGTCCTCCACTGTACCTTCCAACCAGAACGGGCGAAAGTCGAAGTGAAACGCTTCCAACGAACAAGGTATACAGCGTTTGCCTCACGCTTTACTTATTTCGCTGCGATATTGAACGACGAATCGCGAGATTCTTTCAAAGCTGGTGTCTTTCCCGGCGCTGCTTTCGTCACGCTGCCACGTACAACTGAAAGGCATGCACTGCACGTCACGCGTTTTGACTAGCCGTCCGTTTATAGAAGATGCGAGGGTCCTTAAGACGGCCCCATAATTTCGTCTCGATAAGAGAATGCCATTACAGCAGCGAAGAAGGCACCAACTCGCGCGACTTGAAATGACTTGACGAAAGAGACCAGGGAATGCAAGGTCCGGTCCCAAACGAGTCGCCGTCTCTTAACTACATGGTGGCCGTTGGATGCGTACCTCCACATCCTTCGATCACGCGTCTTGTAATCGTCGGAGCACGCTTGTTAGATGCATTCCGACCTGTTGCGATGCCTTACAACAATGGCTCTAACGGCCGTCAGTAACCGATATCAATGCGGGACCAAAGGGACCATCACCGGCATTCTGATCGGCAAAAGACGGGAACACGAGGCGGCGATTCCGGAATCGGAGCAAGCACGATGCCGGCCACTAAATGCGGACGCAGTCCTCGAACAAGCCAAAGAATCGAACGGCCATTACGAAACAAAATTTATTTCAGGAAGGCCCCTTTGCTTCCTGCACGGCTAGCTCCGGTGGAAAGACGTTGCGGCTCGGTCGGCCCGGAGGCACGACTAGAACGATGTGCGACCTACTTTCGAGCTCCTCAAACGACCATTAATATCTCGGGCGCGTTCCCCGCGCATCGCCCGCGCCCTTTCCAGTGTCTTCTTACCGATGGCCAGAGAGTATCACCGGGTCTTCCGGCGATTGTCAAAGAGTAGACGGCGTCGTTTTTCTTTTTGTCTATCCGCGAGTTGCTTTTTCGAATGGATGGGTCCTGCATGACTGCGGCGTGCATCGGCAAGTTGGAATGTTCACAACTTTTCTTTGGAGCTCGCATCCGATAGTTAGCGTCGCGATGCAGACGACACTTAGCAACTTCGCGTTGCTTTTGAGAGACCACGGAGGCAAGGCAAGGTCCCATTGTTCGGACGATCTTTATGCCTACGGCGGCATATATACATATTCAGCTTTGTTCCTTGGCATTGTTTGATCTCCACAGATAGATTTGCAGGCGTATCGACTGTCCTGCGTTTCTCTAATGCCCAAATTGAATATCTAGCAGATGTTCCATCGCAGGAGCCTTAACGAACGCCAATTTCTCCATTTAATCGCCGCGCAGGGACGCCATCGAGCACACTTCCTTTCCAGATCGTTACAGTGGCATCCAAAAAGCCCTTAACGTATGCACCGCGTGCAGAGACGTTCGCCGAGGTCGGCTACTTCGTTATCTCCAGACTTGGGACGGCGCAGTTAAAGTAAAGACGTCCAGGTGACAGTGTCGAGGACATCCCGTTAGCAAGAAGTGGAAAACACCCAAAAGAAAAGCCCCGGGAAACCACATGTAGATCACGTCCCGACTCGCGACTCAGCAATAAGAGCGAGGTTCGTATCCGGGGCGGGCGCCATGCGTGCGACATACTCGCGGATGGAGGCACGCCGCGGGGCCGATAAGGGTTGAACATACATATCCGTCCAAGTACAGATACGCTTCCTCAAACGTCTTGAAGATAAAACTGCGGCGCAGCGTTGCCATCGACAGTCATTCTTGCTCGGCGGTGATAAAGCGCGGGCATTCGCCCAGCTGGTTCGCCGCAGTGCTGCCGCTCACGGCGCTCGGAGTCTCGCAGCTCCTGTAGCCTAGAGAACCTCGCGGTGCGTGGGCCGCCCTTCTCGACTCTCCCGGTCCACGCCGCGTCACTGCCGTAGCGACGTCCGCGCATCTCTCACGCTGGCTGCAGCCATTGCGCTCGTTTGTCTCACGAGGACCTTCTCACGTTCCGCTCAGGGCTGCGCCTGTATAGCGGTGAATTCGCAAGCGGCGATCGGGAGTGCTTTGGTCACGTGAAATGCAACCTAAAAATGAAGCGTTCCATCGAAAAAAAAATAATAATAAATTATTTTTTTGTATTCTTTCATTCGTGCAACCATTAAAAAAGATACTTAATATATATTTGAAATATTGGATCGATAGTTAAGCTTGTGGGTGTTCACTCAATGGTTGTGCCACGTAAGCTATTGCATAGTTTCAAATACTGCTACCACCGCTATTAACTACAAGATAGCACATTACTGCTTTTTTCTTTTGGTCCCCCATCGTTATCAATGGAAATGAAATTAACATATTATATCAAACACGACACAAGCCGATGTAAAATATAAGTCCCCAATTCAGCATATTGCCGTCTTGAACTTAAACATCAGAGCTGAGCGCTAACGAAGTCATGAAGTCACATGTAATATTGTAACACATCTCACTATGCCACTGCTTCTTCTGCTGTTCTTTCTACACAGGAGCTTTATGACGGAATCAGTTATCGAAGAGATATTTTGCATTTGTGGTGTGTCATTAATTTACAGTGCGTTCGGAAAACTTAATATTAACTTCAGTTTATTGCGTTGCGTTATTGCGAACTAAGGGTGACGTCTAATAATGCGCGAGCGAAGCCTAAGCCACTGGCGAGCACGAGCATGCTGCCCTGAACGACGCTTTCACTGCACGAGCACACGTGCTCGGCAAGGGGCGCTGAAAACCGGAGCTCGCTTTTGTTGCCACGGGAATTTAGTTTGCTGCCTGTGGGGAAAGCATGGTTCGCCCCAACTTGCCCCACGCGCGAAACAGAGTTCTTTGTTCCCTGGTGTGTGTGTGCGTGAAAGAGAATGAGGGACAAGGCGGACGTTTTGTGGCACTCACGCCGCTCTTGCGCCACAACGACGCTGGTGCACGTAGTGGAAATGAGCACCGTTGCAGCAGCGTTGCATTTTGGTTCCAACTTACTGTAGCACCCGACAAAAAAAAAAAAAAAAAAAAAAAACTTCTGGTGTATTGAGCGTGCGTAAATAAACGAGGAAGAAAAAAAGAAAAAATAACAGAACGGAAACGTGAGGGAATGCGCGCAATGAACCCTCTCGACATCTCGGAGCGCTCGGCGGAAACCTTGGAAGTTGGCGCCCGCAGCGCCAACGTTTCCTATGGCGGCCGCCGGATCCGCTTCTGCGAGCGCGGCGGGTGACGCGCGTGGCGCACTGACTCTCCTCCGGCGTCGCTTGCTGTTTGTCGCCGGTGGGCGCAGCAGACGGGCTGCGTGCGTCTTGTGGCCGAATGATTGAATCGGAACGTCCACAGGGTTGAATGCATCGCCCTGACAGGCTTCCTGTTACGAGCAGCTACCACAGCGAGCGGCTGGCATGTGACAGCTCGACGGCGAGCCGGAGAAGCATGAGCGGCGAAAAGTTCCCCGACATCCGGACGGTGGTAGGGATCCAGTACTTCTCCGATGTCTCGTGTCCGACCAAGTGTCAGGCCATGGTCCTCGGGGCCGTGGTCCTGGAGAACGTGACCATCAGTGCCGACGAACTGCGGCGCATCATGTGCGATCAGCTGCCGTCGCTGCCCACCCACTTTACTTTCGTCACCAAAGAACGGTAAGTGGGGTTCTGATCTTCCGCATCGTTAGCATCGTGATGTAGGTTCGTGTATTTGAAGAGATTCAATTCACTTGGACCCTGGCATTAGTTTCTCTCGCGTCTCTGTCCCAAGTCGACATGTTCGGACCTATCGCTGCTCCGAGCACGACTGCCTGGGGCGGCGCTTGCTTTTCGTGATACGTGAAAACCTATCCAAAAAAGTGTGTGTGTCTGTGTGTGTGCGCGCGCGCGCGTAATGCTTTTTTTTTTTTTTAATTTTGGTTTTAATTTTTTGGTTTGACTGTCGCGTGCTAAGCGAGAGAGAGAGACGCAAAGGGGTTTTCGATCGCGTGCTGTCAGAACCGGCCGCGTCGCGGCAAGGGGCCTCTGGGCCTTCGGTGAGCAGTGAGAGTAACCGGTTGGAACACTCGCACTGCTTATCGTGAAAGTGAAACCCAATCGGTGCGGTTGTTCGTACCACCCTCACGTTGCCTCATACAGACAACCTGACGCGGTGCTCTTGCTTGGGCCGGGCTTACTAACGGTACACACATCACGGGATGCTTAATTGTTTAGAAGAAAATATAATATATCGAGACAAAATAAAAAGTTCATATTTGCAAATGTACGAGCTTGCCGTTAATTTGCGGAGCGGAAAACTATTTGCGGCAGGGCCGATCTAAAAAAAAACACACCGTGAGATCAAAAAGAAAAACAAAAAGGATGGTACAGGTAACGCAACGACGTCGCGTCTACCTGCGCCCAAAGCCGAGCTCGTCGGCGGATCCGGGCGGCGATGTATTGTGCCTTGCGACCTTGACCAGAGAACGTGCAGGCAAGCAAGCAGACAGGACTGCCGCGTTGCGCGGCGGGTATAATGACGGATGCACGGCATGCGCTTTGGGCACGCCGAAACGCGCGCTTGCGAGCTCCACGGCGGCGCTGCCGGTGCAGTAGCGGCGGAGAAAGTTCAGTCACCGTTTTGACGGGAAGCGCTCCTCGGCGGCGATTGGCGCGCCAGTGGATGGTCCGTTTGTCCGTCTTGTTCGGCGCCCCGGGCAGGACGGGTGCGCGCGGCCTGTTCGGCAAGCACGCAGACGGTCTTCCAACTCGGTATCTCGGAATCTTCGTAGCGGTCAGTTGCGGACGTCTCTGACCGAGAGCGACCGAGCTATGGCGGGAATGTGATGCGCTTTGCGCTTCGAAGGGCAGTGAGAAAGGGCTCGAGGTCTCGTTTTTGCCACGAGTATATCATTAGAGTGCGCGGTTCCCCCCAGACACGGTATACCACCAGGCTAGCAGTCGAGCGGCACCGGCTAAATGCCTCATCTGCACCGGAGAGGTCAGACGGCCGCTGTCCAAAACATTCGTACAACAAATTACTTTTTTACTGTAGGTGCCGTCCAGATGTCTATAGTGCAGATCGGTGGTCTTTGCCGGAGGAACAAAGGCCGCTGGATCTCAAGGACCGAAAGCCAACCTAAAATCGCACAAAATTCGGGACATGCCAACATCGTTCCACGCTTTTCGAAAAACGCGGGTATTTACGGCACAGAAATAATTACGTCGCGCGCGGTTCATAAAAAAAGAAAAAAAAAGAAAAGAAAAGTTAAGTGAGTGGGGAAACGTTTTTGGATACTTTGTAGGGTATCAAAGAAACGATTAAAATCAACGGCATCTTCCGATTTTCGTGTGTTCCGGATTTCGCATGTCCCAAATTTCATGTCGTTTTCTTTTTTCTTTTTTTTCGCACGTGTGTTTTAGGTTTTCTTCTCTAAAAGGCACTGAAAAATCAGCGACTAGGTCGAGGCACTAACCCCGTTTACTGGATTCTTTTTGCCCCCTGCTTTGTAGCTTGTATTTGAAGAAGTGTGACTGCGTGATCTGAATCGTCTTCCATACAGATGGTAATACGCTTTTTTTTTTTTTTTATTTGTGGTGCTCTATTCCAACATTCCAACAAACTTGAAGATATTCTGCAGAGCAGGACGGTAGAAGTGACTTGGGACCTTACTCGACGATCTGTAACTCCGTGCAATCTTAACATCGTGGCTGGGAGAGTCGTTCTTTTGAAGATGGATGTTACACACGACGTTCAGGACGGTGCTACGGGAAAAAGGATTACGCAACTTGCGCAACAGAGACCCACTTGAGCCGCAATCTTGCGAATCAATTCGAGCTCGCGTGATACCGGCCTAATTTCTCGAAAGATTAACAGGAAAATGTCGGTCCTCGTTGCAACGAGCTCGCCCAACTGAGAAGCCTAAGCAAAAATATCAACAACAAGAAAGTGCTCGAAGTTGACTGTGAGGAAGGTATCATTTACCCATTGGCAGGTCGATGGTCTCCAGTGTAGTCTTCTGTACATTGTCCGCTGTCTTTATCTTTTGTCTACCGAAATAACCAAAGGCTCGATGGTGTCGGAGGGTTTTCCCAGCTCGTCAACACAATTTCCCGCAAAGTCGATTTATTTTTTTCTTAGTTTGACTGTGTCGCCGAGGTCGACGCCTGTGAAAGGAACACAAAGCGCCTTTCGAGCTAACATGCCGAGCGGCTGTAGATTGTGCGCCTTTCACGTCGCGTTGTTATTGAGACCGCTGGCCACGTGCCACCAACGCGTGTGTTTACTCACTGTAGGCGGTCTGTACTCTCGCTTTAAAGGGATCAGCAAACGATATCGGGTTGGAATGTTTATTACTTTGCAAGGGCGTACTGGTCCTAGTCTGGCGCAAGTATACTCGCACAGATCGCCACTGGTTTAGAAGCTTCTTTGTCGCGGTGAAATTGCGAGGATAAAAGGGGACTACTTCTTCGAGTCTTGCCTTCGCAAAGCTCGATGACGTAAGTGATGGATAGAAATCACCCACCTGACGGCGCTCGGGCGCGGCTCAGAAATTGGACACGAGAACTGCGTGAGCACTCGACTTCGGCTCGGAAATGTCAATGCCGATCGGCGGACACTAGTGGCTCGTGTCCAACCACTGCGGTGCTGAGAATAGCCGAACTCTAACAATGCCTGGAGCTCAGCACGGGTTTTCTACTTTGCCGACCCCAGCGCGTAGATATGATTAACGTTGTTGTCATAGGATACGTGACCGCTTGTTCTGGCTCCGAGTTCAGGCGATGAACGATGGTCACATTTCTCGGATTTTTTTTTGGCGACTGCCATTGCCTAGAAAGGAAACTTATGGCAAGTTTGTTCAGTTATTAACGTTTAGTGAATCTAAGTAGTACTTAGCGAAAGTAGAAAAATCGTTTCATGGCGTCTTTAAGTGCCAGCGTAGCAAAAGCTCCAAGAGCGATCTCCGGGCTTTCAAGGGATGCTGAACCAAACTTTTCAGTTTTTATAATGAGTGACGCACGATCTTTCCCCGGGCCAGCAGCCGCCGGTGTGCGCGAGCACACGCAACGAAATTGACGTCAGAGTCCTCCATTCCCGGTTAAGATGACAGTGAAATATGTGGACTCCGAGGAAAAGGAGAAGGAAGGCAGGCTTTTCATCTTCAGTGGGGTCTGGCATAAAAAATAGGCGATCAATAGACCGATCTCACCAGCCAGTTTGACTACGCCATGCACCGCTGCCGCGCATCGAGGGAACTTTAGTGGTTCTGCACGTGCGACAACCTCGCTGGAGCTCTGCGCGTGTATAGAGCATGAGACGGCACGAGCCCTTTCGTGCACTGCCGTCTGCCTCCTGCGAACTAAAGTTAGGGCGGCGTCACGCATGCGCCAAACACTTGGTGAGACCGGTGTATTGGTCTAAGAAGCACGTAGCTTTCACCCGTGCGCCACATATTATGGACACTAAAATGTTTGGTTCAGTATCCCTTTCAGCGTCCCTGCCGAGCACGTGCCCTCGTATACAGTGCAGACATCGTTAAGGCGCAACATGCTTCTAGCTTCGGCTTCGCTCGCACACAAAGTGAAACAAACTAGAATATAGTGCGGCGGCGTCAAACGCAATAAAGACCGGCCACGGTGGCGATGTCTGCGGAAGCCATCCCGTATATTTGTTTATTTGTTTGGCGATGCGCACTTTTAAAGGGGTACGGAAACCAAATTTTAGACCCCATCTCTTTGCTTGAACATAAGGAGGGTTAAAATGGGACTTCACCGATACCAATATTCCGTAGGATAACGCGAGAAAACGAATTTTAAACTGAATAAAACGATAACCAAAAACCACCTCGTGGATGTCTGTGAAGCTTCGATGGAATGTCGTGACGACAACATGCCCGTAAGAGCAGCGCCACAACAGGAAGTACGGACACTCATAGGCATTACTTAGGCCTGAACGTAGTACCAAGGCGCTTTGGTGAAGAAAGCAACAGCAGAGTTGGCCACCGTTCGTTTTAGTACCGGGTGGTCTTTCCGGCAACGCTTCTTTGGGGTGGTTTGGAGATTGTGTACGTGCGATGCAATATTCACGCTACGAAATGTCTGTTTAAACGGGCCCGCATGCCCACCTTTCCTGATCACGAGATAGCCGCCTTCGTCGACCGCAACTGATAACGAACTCGATCGCTAAGAAGTCGACACAACTACCGTCGTGGCTGAAAGGCGACGGCCCGTACGGCTCTGCAAAGCGGCGCGCATGTAAACAAATCCCTGCAGCGCTTTTCGGGGATGCGGGAGGGAGCCAACGTCCAGGAAGATGCGTTTGAAGTAAAAGAGTGTCAGCAAGATCCACGTAAATACCTGTTCGCACTGGGAGCAGAACCGCACTGGCATTGCGTTCTTGGTAACCGCTTCGGGAACGTCCTTTAACAACCGATTTTATGAACCGCTGGGCCTCTAGACAATCGCAACTCGATGCTGACGAGACGCTCGGCAGAGAAAGACTGCCGGCATTGAGTCGCTCCCAAAAACTGCTCTAACGTATCATGTCGAAATAAAATGGACATTTAAAAAAAGTGTACGTACCCAAGTTGCGAAGGCAATTCATATGGCATTTATTTGAGCTCTATAACACACACCCACACACACACACAAAAAAAGGAGATTGAATCGAGGAGAGT